ACAGACCTGTTGGTTACAGATGCTAATGCTAATGCTCTGATAACAACTTAATGGTTAGGACACAGACCTGTGGGTTACAGATGCTAATGCTAATGTGGGATCGGACTTAAAAAAAACTGGATCTGGAGTCTGGATCTGCATTTTCTCCAGATATCGGATCGGGACCAGCCTAGTTTCTGTACTCAAGAAAGAAAAAAAAAAACTGTTTCAAATCGCGGCAGCTATTTCGGGGTTTAAAATAGTCTATTAACTCAGCATCAGTAATGGATTTTAAATGGACTTTAAAAAAACGGATTAGGAGTCTGGATCTGTGTTTTCTCCTGCCGGCCGATTCAATCCAGATATTGGATCCAGAGATTTAGGGTTAGGGTTAGACCCGCCTAGTTTATACTTCACCCCACTGACATTAATCAGTTAATCGGTTGGGCTGAAAAAGTCTCTCTTGGCTGAAGGAGTCCGGCAGGATGGCGGTTCTGGGTTCCTGCCACATGTTCAGCGACCAGTACGTCGACAGAGAGGAGAACGGAAAAATCCTGGTGAGTCCCTCTGGCTTTTGAACGCTCTCGGGATGAAAACGTTTGTGGTCGTAAACTATCAACTAGGAATTTTGTATATATATATATATACTTTGGGGGAAATAAGTATTTGAGCCCTTGCTGATTTTGCAGGTTTGCCCACTTACAAAGAATGCTTTTTTTTTTTTCCTCTGGGATTCTGTCTTTCACTGTTAGAATGTACATATGATTAAAGTTATAGATCGTTGCATTATTTGTAAGTGGGCAAACCTGCAAAATCAGCAAGGGCTCAAATACTTATTTCCCCCACTGTATGCACAGACATGTATATATGTATATGCCGTTGTTTTATTTATGGAGCCAGTAACAAAAATAATTTCCCTCTGGGATTATTAAAGTATTTCTGATTCTGATTCTGATTCTGAAAACCTGTCTTTGTTTTTGTTTTCCTCCTTTTGCAGGACGTTGTGCTTCAGTGGCTCATGACCGACAACATTCATCTCAATCAGATCGATGCCGACGATCCAGAGGTGGGTTAGGGTTAGGGTTAGGGTTAGGCTTAGGGTTAGGGTTAGGGTTAGGGGGGTATAGCTGCTCCCAACCTTTTCTAACTGGTTGATGCGAGTGCAATTCTCCAACTGATGGTTCC